ACATGTATCTTTTTTTTTTTTTTTTTTTACATTTTTATCCCTAACACAATTAACTTGACTAAAGCTAGTGTCTGTTTCATGTAAATATATTAACAGGTCCAAAATCACCAACTAAAATTAGCTTTATACTGACTTTTTCTAAAGTCAGTCTTTGTCTCACGCAAATATTTTAACAAGTCCAAAAATACCACATAGCTACTTGGAACATATTAAAGTCTCATTATAACGTAAATTTCAAGTGTTCTACGTTACAGACTTCTCCTTGAAAGATAATGACATTGAAAAATGCTCTTAAGAGAATTGTTAATTCTGTTTCCCAAAACTTCCTGGATAAAACAATTGTACCTTAATGCTATTAAGACTATGCTAGGTGGTTTTTTCTTTAAGTAACAAGACTGACCTATAAAATATGACCGCGACATTTAAGATGAAAGTGTTCAGGGCACACCTCACTTTATTGTCCTTTGCTTTATTGCACTTGGTAGACGCTGTGTTTTTACTAGTTGAAGGTTTACGGCAGCCCTGTGATAAAGAAGCCTGTCCGTGCCATGTGTTCGCTTCATGCCTCTGTGTCATGTTTTGGCAATTCTCGCAGTATTTCACATTTTTGCATTATTGTTATATCTGTGACTGTAATCTGTGGTCAGTGATCTTTGTCGTTTCTAGTGTAATTATTTTGGGGCATCACAAACCATGTCCGTGTAAGAGAGCAGATTAGTCCATTCTCACACTGCTGTAAAGATACTACCTGAAATCGGGCAATTTATAAAGAAAGGAGGGTCAATTGACTTGAGGTTCTGCATGGCTGGGGAGGCCTCAGGAAACTTAGGGGAAGTGAGGCACGTCTGACATGGTGGCAGGAGAGAGAGAGAGTGCAGGAGAAACAGCCACTTGTAGAACTATCAGAACTCGTGAGTACTCCCTCACTATCATGATAATTGTATGGGAGAAACTGTGCCCATGCCAATCACCTCCTACCAAGTACCTCCCTCGGCACGTGGAGATTACAGTTCGACATGAGATTTGGGTAGGGACACAGAGCCAAACCATGTCAAACAGCCAAGTTAATTGGTAAATGTTGTATCTTCTGACTGCTCCAGTGACCGACTGTTCTCCTATCTCTCCCTCTCCTGGATCTCCCTATTCCCTGAGACACAACAATATTGAAGTTAGACCAGTTAACAACCCTGCGGTGGCCTTTATGTATTCAAGTGAAAGACAGTTGCACACCTCTCACTTTCAGTCAGAAGCTGGGTGGATCACCTGAGGTCAGGAGTTCAAGACCAGCCTGGTCAACATGGGAAAAGCCGTCTCTACTTAAAAAAAAAAAAAAAATTAGCTGGGCGTGGTAGTGTGTGCCTGTAGTCCCAGCTACTTGGGAGGCTGAAGCAGGATAATCACTTGAACCTGGGAGGCAGAGGTTGTAGTGAGCCAAGATGGCACCAATGCACTCCAGCCTGGGCAACAGAGCAAGACTCTGTCTCAAAAAAAAAAAAAAAAAAAAAAAGAAACGAAGCTAAAAATGATTAAGCTTAGTGAAGAGGCCATGTTGAAAGCCAGCACAGGCTGAAAGCTAAGCCTCTTGTGCCAAACAGCCGAATTGTAAATGCAAAGGAAATGTTCTTGAAGGAAGATAAAAGTGCTGCTCCAGTGAACACACCAATGATAGAGAAATAGCCTTCTTGCTGATAGGGAGAAAGTTTTCGTGCCTGGAGAGATGATCAGCCCAGACATTATATTTCCTTAAGCCAGAGCCTAATCCACAGTGAAGTCCTAACTATCTTCACTTCGATGAAGACTGACAGAGGTGAGGAAGTCGCAGAAGAAAAGTTTGAAGAGGTTGGTGAGGTTCAAGGAAAGAAGACATCTCTGTAACATAAAAGTGCAAGGTAAAGTAGCAAGTTATCTAGAAGATCTAGCTAAGATCATTGATGAAGGTGGCTCCACTAAACAACAGATTTTCAATGTGTATTAAACATCTTCTGCTGGAAGAAGATGCCATCTGGAACTTTTCCAGCTAGAGAGGAGAGGTCAGTGTCTGACTTCAAGGCTTCAAAGGACAAACTAACTGTCTTGTCACAGCTAATGCAGGTGGTGACTTTAAGTTGAAGTAAGCGCTCATTTTCCATTCTAAAAAGCCTTAGGCCCTTAAGAATCATGCTGAATCTATGCTGCCTGTGCTCTATACCTGGAAAAACAAAGCCTGGATGACAGCACACATTTTTACACGCTGGTTTACCAAGTATTTTAAGCCCACTGTTGAGACCTGCTGCTCAGAAAAAAAAGAGTCCCTCAAAACATAACTGCTCACCAGCAGTGCACCTGATCACCCGGAGCTCTGATGCGGCTGCTCAAGGAGTTGAAGGCTGTTTTCTTGCCTGCTGACACCTCCTCCATTCTCCGGCTCAGGGATCAAGGAGAAATTTCAACTTTCAAGTCTTATTATTTAAGAAATACATTTTGTAAGATGATAGCTGCCACAGACAGTGATTCCTCTGATGGATCTGGGCAAAGTAAGTCGAAAACCTCCTGGAAAGGATTCACCATCCTAGATGCCATTGAAAACACCAGTGATTCGTGAGAAGAGACAAAATAGGAACATTAACAGGAGTTTGGAAGAAGTTGATTCCAACTCTCATGGATGACTTTGAGGGGTTCAGGACTTCAGTGGAAGAAGGAGGTGCAGGTGGAATGGAAATAGCGAGAGAACTGTAGTTAGAAGTGGAGCCTGAAGAGGGGACTGAATTGCTGCAGTCTTAGGATCAAAGTTTAAGGATGAGAAATTGCTTCTTATGACTAACAAAGAAAGTGGTTTCCTGAGATGGAATCTACTGGTGAAGATGCTGCAAACATTGTTGAAATGACAATAAGCGATTTAGAATATCACATAAATTTAGCTGATAAAGGAGTAGCAGGGTTTGAGAGGATGACTCCGATTTTGAAAGATGTTCTACTGTGGATAAAATGCTGTCAAACAGCATGGCATGCTACAGAGAAATCTTTTTTGAAAGGAAGAGTCAGTCAGTGCAGCAAACTTCACTGTTGTCTTATTTTAAGATGTCACAATCACCCTAACCTTCAGCAACCCCCACCCTGGTCAGTTAGCAACCATCAACACTGAGGCAAAACCCTCTACCAGCCAGACTGTGACACACTGAAGGCTTAGGTGATCGTAAGCATTTTTTAGCAATAAAGTGTTTTAAAATAAAGGTATGTACATTTTTTAAAAGATACAATGCTATTGTGCACTTAATAGACTATAGTTTAAACATAACTTTTGTATGCCTTGGGAAACCAAAAAATGTGTGTGACTCACATGTTGCAATATTCCCTTTACTGCACTGCTCTAGAACCCAGCTCGCGATATCGCCGAGGCATGGCTGTGTAGGAAAAATTCTTTATTTCTTTATTAAATAGCATCTTTGAATTGTATTCTCTTTACTGTTCTTTTAACCACAGTGGCCTCATCTGATTTTATTTAGATGCTTACCTGCCACTTTCCTTGACACAGCCGCCCTTTCCTGAAGTTCACGTGGCTCCTGTGTCTCTTGGCTCTGCGGATGGAGCAGTCACCATTGGGGGTCCTCTGATGGTGCACTGTGCAAGGTGCTTGCATTTGAACCTGAGTCGAGTGCAAGATTCTGTGCTGCATCTTTGATGTGTTCTTATTTCCTGAAGTAGATTTGTAATCAGGAGTAACAACCTTCAGAACTAAATGATAGAATCCTGTTACGATGCCCTCTTAAATCTTAGTTTCCTCATAACAGGTATTTTTGCATGACCAGAATATTTTGTTGTGGCAGGGAGTACCTGTTCCTTTTTAAGTTCTGTGAGAGAAAAGAGAAAGGAAAATGAGCTCTTCAATCAGTGTTTATAAATACATTCATATGATTTAGATGTAGAGGTTTAGCCAGGTGGTTCAATGGGTGGACTAGGGAAAAACATTTATTTTAAGGGGGAAGTAACGTATAGGTTGATACTGATGTTTGCAATCCAGTTTGAAGATTGGTTGCCTGTTTTTTCCTTCCTAATTTTTATATTTATATCTCTTTTCTGTTACTCTGAGAAATCTTAGCCTTTCAGGATCTTAAAAATTTTTGGTTTTTTTTTTTTTTTTTGGTTTTGTTCTATCTATAAGAATCTTGACTCTTCCACTTTATATTTGCTTGCAAGCAAAAGGGATTCAAGCATTTTTGTTACTCAGCTATATACGTGACTGAGATCATGCAATTTCACTTGGAATTTCTTCTACAAATATGGAGCACAAGTAATTTTATTATGTGCTGTTTTGTTAGGAAAAGCAGTATTTCTAATCAATAGTTTTTACCAACCAACATCTACTTAATGGAATGTTAGTTAACTGTGTGGGAATTATTCTAAGATAAACACAGATGTCGAATGGAGGGGTAGAGCACGGTCTGCTCTTTGGAAATACAAAGTAAAACAATGATAAAGTCCGTTATTTAACTGCCAGATGGGCTGGGTTTTAGTATTGTTTTTGGTGAGGTTTGTGAAAAGGACATTTGCATACACTTTGGGTGAGAATGTAAATGGGTACAGTATTTTTAGGGGGCAGGTAGGTACTATCTATCGACATTAAAAATGAATATGAGCCTTTGACCCCAAAATCTCACTTTTTGAATGCTAGTCTATATATGTATACAAGAACATATATGTAAAAAGGCATTCCCTGAATCATTATTTGTAATTACAATAAAGAGAAACTGTCAAAATTCTAAGTGTCTATCCACAGGAGAGTGGGTAAATAAATTATTTTATGATTTTACTAGCAAAAACTGTGACATTATCAAAAAACAAAAAGAGGCAGGTCTCCACGTACTACCCAAGAAAGGTGTCCTTGATATATTACAAAGGATGAAGGGTGTGAGTCTGTGTTGTGTACTAACACGTTTTGTCCATGAAGAAACAAGTCTGTGTGCACCTGATTTGATAATTGGAAGTTGTTTGGAACTTAATGTTTTGCCCTTGTTTTAAAACAGCTTTTAGAAATTAACTGGACAGGACTGACGAATCTTCTGGATATCCCTGGATTGAAGTAAGTCTCATGTCTGGTCCCCGAGGCTTAGCGTTCGAGGGCGTGTTGTGCATTTTCGATGTCTTGACAATAGTGTGAGAATGGTTAAGACCTGCGTCTGCCAGGTGAATGGGTGCCTTCTCCACAGGCCGTCGTGGAAACAAGCAGAGGCACAGGGGCTTCCTTCTGCCCACAGGGAGCTGCTGGGAAGTGATGGGCCAGGGCAGGAGGGCTCTGGAGTGCCAGCTGAGCACTCAGTCTTCATTTGCTTTTGTTCACCACAAGGTGTCTTCCTGGCCTTGGCATTTTAGAAAAGTAGAGGCTTTTTAATATTTTGTAAACCAGTTTGCCAATTTTTTTTTTTTATATATATATATATCTTCTCAGAAACAATAAAGGAAACTTTAAAAGGAAATGCCTTCCAGGGTCTCTCCAGCCTATGGCTACCCCACCCTTTCCGCTTTTTTTTTTTTTTTTTAAAAAAAACCTTTATTCCATTCCTTTTTTTTTTTTTTTTTTTTTTGAGACGGAGTCTCGCTCTGTGTCCCAGACTGGAGTGCAGTGGCCAGATCTCAGCTCACTGCAAGCTCCGCCTCCCGGGTTTACGCCGTTCTCCTGCCTCAGCCTCCCGAGTAGCTGGGATTACAGGTACCCGCCACCTCACCCGGCTAGTTTTTTGTATTTTTTTTAGTAGAGACGGGGTTTCACCGTGTTAGCCAGGATGGTCTCGATCTCCTGACCTCGTGATCCACCCGTCTCGGCCTCCCAAAGTGCTGGGATTACAGGCTTGAGCCACCGCACCCGGCCTATTCCATTCCTTTTTGAAAGTGGTTGGGGACAGTGTGGACTTTGCCAGTACTCTTCAGTGTGAGAGGTGAGGAACTTGAAGTTCCATATCATTTCACTGGGAGTCCTTTCATTATTACACAGCGATCTAGTGTCTAAAACAGGAGAAAAATGTTCTGTAACAAGCATCTGAGGCCCTGGAGAGTGCATCCCTGCCCAGAGACAAGGAGTCATTCTAGTTACCATGCTCCTGTTACCTGAAACAGTGCATGGGGCCGTGGATGGCAGACCTGTTGGTCACCTCCAAATAGGAAGTTTCAAAATTACAGCCTCTAAATGCTTTTGCTGGCTTTACCGTTTTTTTTGAAAGTTAAAACACATCACCTTTGGGTTAAACTTATATGTTTCTAGTGGATATTTTCTAGTGTGATTTGTTTTTCCTAAAATAGTTTAGAAAATTATGAAACTTGGTTTCAGACTATTTTTTATTCCTGTATATTTGTTTATGCCTCTGAAATGGCCTTTCTAAAGAGTTTTGTTTCATTATTAGGGAAAAATTAGGACTTTAATTAATATCTGAAGCACAGTCATAATAAAAGTCCTTTTTAGGTGCTGTAGTTTACTGGATACAGAAAAATGCTGTGATCTTTAAAAGATCTGCGGAAAGAAAGCACAACTTTAAAAGATTGGTTAAAGAGTTCATTAAGATTCTGGTTGGAAGCAAACCTGACTCAAGTGGTCTTAAGTAGGTAAATAAGTAAGTTTCTTTTCTTTCCTTTTTTTTTTCTTTTTTTTTTTTGAGATGGAATCTCTGTTGCCCAGGCTGGAGTGCAGTGATGCTATCTCAGCTCACTGCACCCTCTGCCTCCTGGGTTCAAGCAATTCTCCCTGCCTCAGCCTCCCAAATAGCTGGGATTACAGGCGCATGCTGCCACACCCAGCTAATTTTTGTATTTTTTTAGTAGAAATGGGGTTTCGCCATGTTGGTGAGGCTGGTCTTGAACTCCTGACCTCAGGTGATCCGCCCGCCTCGGCCTCTCAAAGTGCTGGGATTACAGGCATGAGCCACCACGCCTGGCCAGTAAATAATATTTTCAAAAAGCAGTTTATTCACTCTTCCAACAATGGGTGCCCACTGCCTGCTCTGAGCCGGTCGCAGCTGCTCGTGCATGGGACACGCCTGTGCTTGTTTCCTGCTCAGCAGCTGGAGTGCTGACGTGTCCTCTGAGGGGTTTCAGATGGAGTCATGTTGGCACCGTAAGGGCTCTCTCTCCAGTTCCTGACCCATGTAGAGTGGGCATGTCCCTCGTGGGCTGGTTTTCAGGCAGGCTCTTGGTGTGCCTGCAGCTATAAGCCTTTAGTGTGCGGATTTAGTCGCCTTTCCCCCTAGGTCCTGGCCTGACTTGTGTGTGCAAGGACCACCCTTGGACAGATTCCTGCAACTCCGATGGTCAGGTTTCGATCTCCAGGACATTCCTACAGAAGGCAAAGAAATGGATAACTTGTGTGAAAAAACTCCAGTGAATGGGGGTATCCCCCAAAGCAGAAACTTTCAGTAGAAGTGGGGGGAGTAGATACTATTTAGCCAAATGGAACAAACGTTCACACACATCAGTGTAGAAAAAAGTATTTGATTTTGCCTCCCTTCAGTATCACAGGAGTACTGAAATAAAACAGCATTATTGAGCATCTACTCTGTAAATAGCGTTGTATTAATACTGGCAACCTGAAAGGGCAAAGTCGAAGGATGTCTTCTGCCTCAGCAAGCCTGCAGTTTGGGGAAGTTGATCCCTGATTCATTTTATTTAAAAGTCATTCACACATACACACATAAATACAGAGATACATACATGTATAGCTCCATTCTGTTTAATAATTTATATGTAGACTCTTTTTATACAGTAGTCATTTCCTAATTTTATTTTTATTTTTCATTTTTTTAGAGAGAGATCTCACTATGTTTCTCAGACTGGCCTCAACCCCCTGGGCTCAAGGGCTCTTCCTGCCTCAACCTCCCAAGTAGCTGAACTATAGACTTGAACCACTGCCTCCCTTCTCCTCGTCGTCTTTGTAGATTTTATATATACTTAATACAATGAACCACTGCAGCTTCTCTTGTCTTTTATGCAAATTTTATATATGTAATACAAAAATATACTCATATATATAGAATTATGTCATTAAAAATATATCCTTATATAACAGATAAATACATACACGTTCAAAAAATAGGCTGCTGTATAAAAGGAGATGTAAAAATATCTCTTCTGAGTTTATATATATAGGTATACATAATTCATACACAATCATGTAGATTTTATATAATACAATTATGTTTACATAAATGTTATGTACTGAAATTTAATAGGTATGTATGTAAAATTGGGGCTACTAGTTCTCACTGAGTCTATCAAATAAATCACAGCTATAGCAACTCTTAGGTTATAAGTAGATATTAAATAACTGTGAGGCCAAATGCAGTGACTCACACCTGTAATCCCAGCACTTTGGGAGGCTGAGGCAGGTCGATCGCCTGAGGTCAGGAGTTTGAAACCAGCCTAGCCAGCATGAGTGAGAATCTATCTCTACTAAAAATACAAAAATCAGCTTTGAGCGTGGGCACACGCCTGTAATCCCAGCTACTCGGGAGGTGGAGGTTGCAGTGAGCCAAGATCACGCCATTGCACTCCAGCCTGGGCAACAGAGTGAGACTCTGTCTCTCAAAAGAAAGAAATTTAAAAAATAAATAAATATGAACTTAACATAATGAAATCTTGTACCAATCTTTATAAAATGGTCCAGAAGTTAATGTGTGATCCTGTCTTTGTATACTCTTTCTATAAAAAGAAAGCTGGAAACACACAGGAGGGTTGGATCTGTTTGGGAGTATATTACATGAGTTGATAAATACACTTGATTTTTCTCTGTTTGCTTCTCAATTCAGCTTCATCCACACCCTCCCCAGTATTCAAATCTAATGTGACAAAAATGGTGTCAGCCCTCTGGGCCAAGCTAAGCCATCCCATATCTGTGACCTGCATGTATACCTCAGATGGCCTGAAGTAACTGAAGAATCACAAAAAGAAGTAGAAAATGGCCTGTTTCTACCTTAACTGATGACATTACCTTGCAAATTCCTTCTCTTGGTTCATATTGGCTCAGAAGCTCCCCTACTGAGCACCTTCGTCCCCCGCTTCTCGCCAGAGAACAACCCCCTTTGACTGTAATTTTCTACTACCTACCCAAATCCTATAAAACGGCCCCACCCCATCTCCCTTTGCTGACTCTCTTTTCGGACTCAGCCATACCTGCACCCAGGTGATTAAAAATCTTTATTGCTTTGTTAAAGCCTGTTTGGTGGTCTCTTCCCACAGACACGCATGAAAGTAAGGTTCTGGGATGAAGTGGCCAGAACAATGATCAGGATTACCCCTCCACCAAGTCTCTGAAGGGTTACATAGCTTCTATTTTCTAAGTGATGTCCTAAGCACCAGGTTCTTGCTCTTATTGGCTTGTCTAATGCCTGGATCTCCTGACCTGCGATGTCATGTCTCTTGTAACTTGTAAGATATAAAAATAAAATCCTAAGTTTCCTACCTGACCCCAGAAGAAGCAGCAAAGCCAGATCCCAACCATGATGGATAGGAGCGCAGACATGCTCATTGTACCCCCTACCTTGCTAACCACGATTAGGTTTTCTTTCCTAGGGATTAAACAGAAACCAGCCCTTTTAGAAGTCTCCACCACTGATTTCATCAGACTCCCTCTCTTTTGCAGTTTCCAACGTAACAACTGACCAACATTCCTTCCTGATGAAGAGCACCCACCATGGGATAGTTCTGGTTAGTTTATGGAGGTTGTGCATGGAGCAGCTTTGTGTCCTCTGCTTCACCTTTTTGAGTGTACAGGGCCTAATTGTACTACATCTAAATGTTAAGTCTCCACCACAAAGTGACCATGGGACATATGTAACACAAATGTTAACCACTGTGAATGCATGTGCACACCTCATTCATGAATACTCATAGCTTCTCCTATAACCTATTGAATATGTATACTTAGCCAATGGATTCTGCCAAAGTTATTGTCTCTCCTTCCCTCTTGAAGTGCCTGCTTCTGGTCTCTGCTGGAAGCTACAATTCCCAGCCTGCATGATGGCCAGCCTGCAGGCTACAACCCTTTATAAGAAATAAAACTCACGTCTCCAAATCAATGAACCTTATGGTTCTTCCAGTGGACCTTTCGAAATCTCCTTTCTCTTGTCTGCAAGCACTAGTTTCTTTCCCACGTCCATTGTGGAGGACAATGCTTCCAGTGGAACCCTTGCAAGTTCTGAAATCCTGAACAAACAGGGTGTTGCTGTCCTGTGTGACAGAACTTGCAATCCTGCCACCTTGCCTGCCTCTGCTGTACTCACACTTGAGCATTTTAAGCTCAGATGTGCAGGGGCAATTTGTATGTGCTCCTCTCTCCACCAGTTGTTTCCTCAGTGCTGCTCCTCAGTGCTGAATTTATTTCTGCTCTTTAGACTCAGCCTTAAATGTTACCTCTTTGAAGAGGCCTTCCTAGACCACTGGAAGTGATGCTGTATTTAACTGTCCTTGGGCATAGGCACCGTGCAGCAGAACAGACTCACATATTTAAAACAGCATCCCAAACTGGGACTAACTAGGGCTAACTGTGAATACAGCTCCTGCTAGTCCATCTGGTTGTTTGATTTATGGCAATAATTACAATCTGTAAATATTTATTATTTGTTTTATTCGTTCTTTCAGATATATTCCCCAGTAGTTTCCATGAGAGGTAACACGTTTGTGTCTTAGTCACTGTTAGGAAGACAGACATTTCCTCTGTCCTCTTATATTCGGTGTTCGAAGTCTGTAGATTAAACTGACAAAAAGACAGATTAGCAAGAGGAAAAACAGATTTTATTCATGGATGTGCACTGGAGTTCATAAGATGACTCTCAAGCAGCCAAAGAATCACGGGATTTACTTAACCACTTAATAAGGTGAAAGGCATGAGAGGGAGGAAAAACTTCTCTGGGGAAGACATTTTGTTAAAGGAAAGATTAATGGGCTTTTAGGAGAACAAAATGGGAGATAGGAAAGTTTGTGGCAATGTCTGTTTATGCAGGTGCAAGTGGTCGTCTTCTTTCTGGTCAGTATACACTCCTCTGGAGAGAGGACTTACAGTAGTTTCTTCTTTTTTTAACGTTTAAATTCAGGTACATAGCATGCTGATTTGCTATATGGGTAAATTTGTGTCATGGGGGTTTGTTGCATGGATCCTTTTTGTCACCCCAGGTGTCTAAGCCTAGTACCCATTGGTGTATTTCTCCTGTTCCTCTACCTCCCTCCCACCTTCTCCTCTCAAATAGACCCAGTGTCTGTTCCCCTTTTTGTGTCCATGTGTTCTGCTTGTCATTTTAGCTCTTACTTAAGTGAGGCACGCGAGTATTGGTTTTCTTTTCCTGTGTTAGTTTGCTAAGTATAATGGCCTCCAGCTCCATCCATGGCCCTGCAAAGGACATGATCTCATTCTTTTTTATGTCTGCATGGTATTCCATGCACCACATTTTCTTTATCCAGTCTGTTACTGATGGACGTTTAGATTGATTCCATGTCTTTCCTATTGTGAATAATGCTGCAGTGAACATACACATACAAATGTCTTTATGATAGAATGATGTATATTCCTTTGAGTATATACCCAGTAATGATTGCTGTATCTATGGTATTTCTGTTTCAAGTCTTTGAGAATTGCCACTGTCTTCACAATAGTTGAACTAATTTTCACTCCCACCAACAGTACGCAAGCATCCCTTTATCTTGACAACCTTGCCAGCATGTATTATTTTTGGACTTTTTAATAATGGCCATTCTGGCTGATGTAGAACATTATCTCTTGTGTGTTAGTTTCACTCTCAGTCTCCTTCATCAAAAAGTGAAGCTGCCCCAAAGAGGAGATTTGATAGCCTCATTTCTAGATGTTTCTGCCTTTGTGATCAGATAAGAGAAGCTCCAAAAAGTCTTCTTTCTACATCTATCCAAATCTCAAACGTCTTTAATTTCAAAATAATCTTCATATCAACTCTGGGGTTGGAAATTGCATCTTCATATCCAGCACCAAGTACTATGCCTGGCGAATAGTAAGTACTCAACAAGTGTTCATTGGAATATGAATTAATGAAGCAGTAGAGAAATTACTTAGGTGACCAATAATCCAGTGTGGTTGCTTGTCCCAGGTAAGAGTGTGTGCATGTGTAAATTGCAGGTGACATGAAGGAGATTATTATTGTCTATGTCAAAGCCCTAACAAAGGTATTCACAGTACTCCGGAGAAAAGGATGCCTTAATTTTATAGTTTAAAATACATGTTTCTTTTGTTGGAGAGTTGGTAAGTCCCATGACTTGATGCAAATGTAGCTCAGTGGTAAGATGCTTGAATATGTGGGCCTTCTTTGGCATTTTTCTTTTTGTCTTACAGGAAAAAGCCCAGTTTTCTGCACATAGTAGCCCAGAAAGAGCTACTTTTCATTTCTCCCAGCCCTTGAGATCACCACGGATGGAGGCAGCTGCTAGTGTGGGACTTGGTGAGTGCTCAGAGATACTACAGTGGGCAGTGGGATGCACAGGAAGGAGGGGTGTGTTAGAACTTCATGGAATGGGCAAGTGGGCAGCTTCTCTCCACTTCCAGCCCTGTGCCTATCTGAAGGGTTAATAAATATGAGGGCAGCTGCTGTCTTGTTCTCTACTGGGATGAGATGTTACAAACTCTTTTTCTTTCATAAAGACAACCAGAGCATACACAGAGGAGGGAGAGATCGTATGTGCACTCCAGTGTGCCATCACCCAGCTTCAACAATTATCTGCATTTGAACCATCTTGTTTCATCTCCAGCCTGCTCCACAATTATCCTTACATTCCCCAACCCCTCCCCTCACCAGATTATTATTTTAAAAACTTTTAAAGTTATTTTTATTTTTAAAAATTTTATTTTTAATCTATAAGTAGCAATTGTTTTCACCAGATTATTTGAAAGCAAATCTCAGATTGCATATTCTTTCATCTATGAATAGTTCCAGTCTCATTTTATAGCAGATAAGCACACCTTTACCAGGTGTACATTTATTTGTTTATTTTTGGTGGGTTGGTTAACTGTTTATTTATTTATTTATTGTGGCAAAATATACAGAACAAAATTTGCTATTTTAACCATTTTTAAGTGCTCAATCCAGTGGCATTAGATACGTTCACATTGTTGTACTTCATTGCCCCATCTATCTCTAGAACTTTTCTGTCTTCCAAAACCAGAATTCTATTACCCATTAAAGCAATAACTTCACATTCCTCATCCTTCAGCCACCTACAGCTGGTCTCCTACCAGATTTCAGTACTCTAGGTACCTCATATTAGTAGAATCACACAATA